TTGGCCGTGCTAAATTGTCCCATAGTGCCCAGGGATGTGCACGCTGGGTGGGTTAGCCATGGGAAATGCTGGGTTACATTGATGGGGTGGGTCTGGTTGGGATGCCCTTCAGAGGGTCGGTGTGGACCCAGTGGGCCGAATGGCCTGCTTCCACACATCAGGGATTCTGTGATACTGCCATGATGTCCCTAATCAAAAACACCACTCCTCCTCCCCTCTTGCCTCTCTTTCTATCCTTCCTATAGCACCCTGCAAGAACTGCCAGTCCTGTCCCTCCCTCAGCCATGTTTCTGTAATAGCTATAATTTCCAAGTCCCATGTTGCCATCATGCCCTGTATTCATCTGCCTGAGCCTGTCAGGCATTTTGCATTGAAATAAATACCATTTAATCCATCAGTCTTAGCTCGTTCCCTGCCATGCTGTGCAGATAGCATGTTGTGGCTGAAAAGTGGGAGTCAATTTGTATGCCTGCTTGACTTCTACACCGCTACCTGCAGTAACTCTAAGGTCTATCACAGACGGTGCTATATCATTTCACAATTCTAGCTGTGGTTGGGTAATGATTGAATGACTGGTCAGAGAGATAGTACTAACCATCTGCAATCATTGACAACGTTTCCTCTGATAAGCTTCCGAGGATGTTTATGAAATCGCAGCGAGACCGGTTCTAATCCGACCAGGATCCAGAGTGAGAACTGACCCGAATTTCACACTCGTACTTCCCCTGGTCCCTCACCAAAGTGCGCCCCGTACCTCTCCACAACACTGTTTTTCAGGTGTGAGTCTGCGGCCAGTATTGAGCCGGGCCGTTCGACTTTGGGAGGCATCGCCGTAGTCAGCCAGGCAGTTTGAAACTTTGCCGAGGGCTCCCGCAGTTCCGGATTGCTCAGCTGGTTTCCTACAAAAGCAGCCAGCCGTGGAATCGGACTCTCTCCCTGCGTGGATGGGATGTTTCCACGTGGAGGCAGCTCCCAGAGATGTCATGGGGTCAGGATTTCTGTGTTCCTTTGCGCATGGGAAATTTCAAGGGAATAGGTTGTGCTGCCCTGTGTCATGCTCTGTAATCCTACTGACTGAGCTAACCAGCTGGTTAAATGGTACCTCCTTCAGCAGTAGGTTCAACACTTCAAGCTGGGGAGAGGGAGAAGGGGATGGGCTAAAGGAAATGGAGTAAGTCGAATCTGATAACTTTAAACACAGCGAGGGGTCATTGGGTTCACTGGACACTAATAAGTGATCAGTTCCTCCAAGGGGAGGGGCTGTAATAGGTTTGAAAGTGAAAGTCTTAATACCGTTTTAAAACAATTCTAAAAAACTTTTTATGATGAGAATGGAGAGACTTTGGTTATTTGGGGTTGAGGGGATCTAGAGAGGCTTGGATGGTCTCCTGGTGGGCCGCTTGTGATGCGAAGTGACACCAACGGCGATGGTTCAATTCCTGTACCAGCTGAGATTATAGTGGGATGGCTCAGTGGTTAGCACCGCTGCCTCACAGCGCCAGGGACCTGGGTTCGATCCTGCCCTCGGGCGACTGTCTGTGTGGAGTTTGCACATTCTCCCCGTGTCTGCGTGGGTTTCCTCCGGGTGCTCAGGTTTCCTCCCACAGTCCAAAGATGTGCAGGTTAGGGTGGATTGGCCGTGCTAAATTGTCCCATACTGCTCAGGGATGTGAAGGCTGGGTGGGTTAGCCATGGGAAATGCAGGGTTACAGGGATAAGATTGAGTGTATGTCTGTGTGAGATGCTGTTCAGAGGGTTGGTGTGGACTTGATGGGCCAAATGGACTGCTTTCACATTGGAGGGAGGAGGATAACTTTCACATTGTAGGGATTCCGTGATTGTGAAGGACTCTTATTCTCAACGTCTGAGGTTAAATCACCACCAGTCATCTCTCTCTAATTAGAGAGTGGCCTGTGGTCTGGGAAGACTACAGTGACCTAGCTGGATCTCCTAGGAGAGCAGAGAAGGTTAATGGGAGATTAAATTGAGTTAAATAAAAACTGAAAGAACTGTGGATACTGTAAATTGGGAGCAAAAACAGAAATTGCTGGAAAAGCTCGGCAGCATCTGTGAAGAGAAGCCAAAGTTAATGTTTTGGGTCTGGTGACCCCTCCTCAGACCCTTCCTTAAATCAAGTTGTTGAGGATCTTTGGATGTCTTGTTAGAGTAAATAAGGAAACTGTTTCCATAGACACCCGAGGGATTCAGATTGAAGAGAATCACAAACAGAACCAGAAAGTGAAGATGAGATTGTTTTGTTTTAACACCGTGAATCCCTATTTTAAAAAAAAGACTCGCATTTCAGTAGCGCCTTACACAGCATCAGCCAATGAAATATTATTTTCAATCGTGATCGTAGCTCTAATGTATGCAATACAGCAGCTAGTCACCTCGAGTACACTGCCTGAAAGGGTAATGTTAGCAGGTTCAAAATGAACGTTTGAAAGGGAATCGGAGAAATGGGAAAGGTTTGTGAGAAGGAACAGAGGAGGCAGGTGGTGGTATTAATTGGAGAGATGTCTTGAAGAATCACGTGGCCTCTTTCTGTGCACTGTATCATTCTGTTGTCCCTGCAGGAGCTGCTCTGCATCATTTGGGCATCAAAAAGGAAACATTTTTAGCCTGTAGTACAGGTTATTAGCGTCCCTGAACGCGTGCTACTCCTTTCTATCGATGACTTGGGGTTTGCTAATATTTTGCTATTCCCTATACCCCAGCCACAGCCCTGTCAGCAGTGAGATGTGAGAACTTGGAGCCAGCGAGTTAGGGAACAGCAGGATTGAATGACATCGCACAAGCTGAGAGAGCCGCTCTACGCTTGTGGGCTAGACTGGACGTTTGGAGACGGTCCCTTGGCAAGCTGATGGGACTTGAAAGGAGTCAGCCCAGAGTTCCTGCAAACAGCAGTTACAGAGACTGAGGCCAGAGATTGTGTAGAGCAGGTAAACCATTCCAGGAATGCGCACATGCTGAGATACAAGAGGAAGCGGAAGATCACAGACATGGCCAGTAAGACTGGGCTTGATGTACCCAGGAGTGAGGTGCTGCAGAATAGCGACATGTTCAAACAGCAGGTAGAGGAGGAAAAAATTAATGAATTGAGGACTGACCCTCGCCGGGGCGCGGTCCCCCACGCACGAGGACTGACCCTCGCCGGGGCGCGGTCCCCCACGCGCGAGGACTGACCCTCGCCGGGGCACGATCCCCCACGCTGAGGAGAATATGGTTGTTATTATGCTGTGAGAGCTCCCATGCCAGTAGGAACTGGTCAGTGGTGCCCTGTAGAACGTACCCAGCCGCAAAGTGTTGTTTGTCTGAAGTGTGGGGGTGAGGTGTTGCTGTTTTGTTAGATGTTTACACCCAGTATCCTGGGGCTCATGTTAGCTGACTCCAACGAAAAGAAAACAAAATGCTGATCTTCTCCTTGCCTGATTTTGGGATCTTGCTGTGCGCATGTTGGCTGCTGTGTTTCCTACAACACTGCTGCATTGAGCATGAAGTGATTTGGAAGGTCCCGAGGTGCCAAAGAGATCATCAGGTTATAATTCCCAGGGGTCCTGCTGGTTGGCGATCTGATCAGGGGTTGGGTGAGAGGCTGGGGACATGTCTGGCGTTTCCGGCAGTTTTCCAGAATTCCCTGTCCTGCCTCGGGCAACTGCCTGACGTCGTGCTGGGAAATGACTCCTGCATAATACAGTCCAGCTTTGTCTACACTCCTGTGCAAATAAGGCCCCTGTGCATCTCCTCCTCCTCCTTCAGCCCCTAGCTCAGTGATCTGTGACGTCCTGTAGAAGGTACCGGAAATCTGCTACCAGTTTGGCAGTGGCGGGGGTGAGTGTGGGGACAGTATTCATTCCACTGCTGAACTGGAGAAGTTACTCAGAATGTTACAGGTGTGTCTCTAAGCAAACACCAGTTCCTGTTTTGATTTCACTGCACCACAGCGTCTGTTCCAAAGATGTCTTTGTCTTTGCCACTCTGTGAATCTCCGCGTTGCAATTTGGGACGCAGTGTTTCCCTCTCCTCTTTGCTGGGATGCAGTCTAATAAGTTGCAGGGAGAAATTATTTTTCTACTTGTGATTTATCTCCGGTTGCTGTGACTCGGAGTTGGGTCAGGTCACAGCACTATTGTTACTGAGCTCGGACAGTTTCAGTGCAGGTGAGAGGGGAGATAGACCTTGGCGACAGGCTGTTTCAGGGCTTTACGTCGTTAATCTCTGGATAATCCTGCAGGCAGTGAGTGAATGACTTGTAATAAGAATAGAAGGAGTCTATTCAGTCCCTCAAATACTTACTATCCCACGAGATCAAGAGTAATCTGCAGTCTAACTCCATCTACATCTTTGTCCCACATTTCTTAATAATTTTGATGCACAATGAATATCAGATTTAGAATTAATTGATCCAAAGCCATTTTTGACAAAATAATTCAATTCTACCACCCTTGGTCTGTAAAATGATCTGACCATAACTTCTGGATTCCCCAACCCTGAATTCCAGACTCAAACCAGTGGAAATAGTTTCTGTCAGTCCTTTTTGTTCCTCTGAAAGCAAAGATATTCAATCAAATCACTGAAAACTGTCTAACTTCTGCAGTTTCAACTCTAGTTTGTGCAAACTGTCTTTGAAATTGTCCTTAAAGCAGGATTGGGTTGTCAGCAGTAATCTGGTGAGGTTTTAGGCAGTTCAATTGATGCTCAGCTTTGGGCTTCCCGACTGTCTGAATCACCACTGAATATTCTCTGACTAAATAAAGACAGACCATTCAACCCCTCTTCTGGCACATTGGAAAGGCTATCAGTGAGTCCCACCTCAGAACCCTCCACTTTTACCTAGCTCTGTGTGTGTGTGTGTGTGTGTGTGTGTGTGTGTGTGTGAGAGTGAGAGAGAGAGAAAATGTGTGTGTCTTTCCTCAGTAACTGTTCTGGTGATCTTAGAGCCCTTTGAAGATTGTTTCATACGTCAGACGTAACTTGAGAATTTTTTTAATGTGAAAGGCAGAGGATTGGAAAAGGGGTATTTGCAAACAGTTCCTATAGCAGGAAGTGGAAGAAGGTGGTTTATACTGCAAAGTTAAAACAGGTGCCTTTTCAAATTTGTATTTTTGGTCATTCTGACTGGCGCTCATATGTTGGGATTTCCTCTTTCGATATCTCCCTCTCTAGCTCCCACCCTTCGATCCCCTTGTCTGAACCCCCACTGTTTTCCTTTTTCCCCTTGACCACCCAGGTTGCATTCTCTCTCTGTCCCTCTCTTCACTATCCACCTCTTCTTTCTCTGTCACTGTATTTGTCTGCCCTCTTTTTTTCCCTTCTTCCTTGTTTTCCTGTCTGCATGCCTCTGTTTCCCCCTTCCCGCTCCGATTCTCTCTGCCTCCGGATCTCCGTGTCTTCCCCACTCTGTTTGCATCCTCTCCTCCACGTCTGCCCCTTCCCCTCTGTGCTCTGCTCTCTCTCCCTTCCCTGATCTCTCTCTGCTTCCCTCTCTTTTCCCCACCCCACCAACTCTTTTTCATTCCAAATGTCTCCCTCCATCTCTTCCCCCTCTCTCTGTCCACCAAAGACCCTCTCTCTTTCTCACGTGGATCAGAATAACCAGAGAACCTGTGCTGTTTCATGTGACATTTCTCCCCAAAAATAGCCAAGAAACTCACCACAAATCTGACTTCTTCCTCCCATCTGAATCCCCTTCCTCCTCTCTCTTTCTCTCTTCTGACCTCCTCTGCTTCAGTAGCACTTTTACTAGCGTTTCACTTTGCATTTCTGAAGTTTACAGCTTCGGTCTTTTCAGCTGCTAACGTTTGTGATTTTTTGTTTTTATTTCTCTCTCTGTGGCTGACTTCAAGAGCGTTTCTGTTGAGTTCCCCATCTGCGGCACGTAGACCAGAGGTGACCCTCCCCCTGAGCTGTGAGAGACGGATTGGGCAGGTGGGTGACTGGGATGGGGTCGGGATACCTGTGGAAGAGCAGAAGAAGTTGGGAGTGAGCTGCAAAAGCAGCAGCAGACAGACGCAGGAATGAATGCCCGGCACCAACCTTCAGACTGGGACTGAGAGGATTCTTAACTGAGGACTCACTATTTTAGTGTGCCCCACATGCCAAATATTAGTTACGTTAACTACTGACGAGGGGCGTATTAGGTGGAGAAGCCTGCAGGAGCTGAGGTTGGAGCGTAGGAGATTGAGAGGATTTAATTGACGTGTTTAAAATTATGGAAGGCTTTGATAAAATAGATTAGGAAAAGGTACGTTTCTAATGTCAAAGCTTGGCTCCTAAAGGATCAATAAAGTGTGAGGTGATGTATTTTGGCAGGAAGAACATTGAAAGACAATAGAATTGTACCCCCAATTTTATAAAGGGGTGGAGGAGCAGAGGGAGCTGGGCATATAGATGCACAGTTTATTGAAGGTGGCAGGACAGGGGTAGGGGGTAGTAACTGAAGCATACAGTATCCTCGCCTTTGTAAATAGGGGCACAGACGAAGGATCAGGGAAGTGATGTAGAACTTGTATGAGACACTTGTTAGACCTCAGCAGGAGTACTGGATGCGGTTATAGAAAGGATGTGAACACATTGCAGCAAGTTAAGAGTGGTTTACAAGAATGGTCCAGGGATGAGGAACTTGTGTAATGTGGATAGATTACAGAATTGGGGGTGTTCTTCTGGGAAGGTAAAAGACTGAGAGGAGATCTGATGGGGGTTTTCAAAATCATGAAGGAGCTGGATAGAGTAGATTGGGAGAAAGCATTCCTGTTTGGATAAGGAACAAGAACGAGAGGGCCGTAGATTTAAAGTGATCTGCAAAAGAAGCAACAGTGAAGTGAGGAAAACCTTGTTCACCCAGTGAGTGGTTATGGTCTGAAATGCACTGTCTGGGAATGTGGTGGAGGCAGGTTCAAGTGAGGCTTTCGAGAGGGGCATTGGATGGGTATTTGGATTGGGGAAAGAAAGTGTACAAGTGTTTGGGGGAGAAACAGGAGATTGGCACTAGGTAACGATGCTTGTTAAATGAGCCGGCACAGACACGCTGGGCTGAATAGCCTCCTACACAACAATTCTGAGAGATGATTAGCAAAAGAACCAGGATGGTGGGGTTGTGGGTGGGAATAGGATGTGATTTGTTTTATGCGGCAAGTTGTTGCAATCTGGAATCAAGGGATACGGGGAGGGGTTGGAAAGTGGCGCTGAAGCCCAAGATCAAGTAACGTAGCAGGCTCAATGGACCGAATGGCCTCCCCCAGCTCCAATTTTTTGTTCCCGTGGACCACGCCCCTCTGGAAGTAGATTCGGTGTGAACGTTCAAGAGGGGAATGAGATTAGAAACGAGGAATCGGATAAATAGTTGGAGGAAAGCTTACGGTGGGGGTTGGGGGGATGCTGTGGGGAAAGGGAAGTGGGATTAGTTTGCAGCCGTTTGAAGGCCAGAATAGGGCAGATGGGCTGAACGGCCTCTTTGCTCTGTGGTGACGCTATGAAAGGGTTATGAAAGGATTGTGAATCCCGAAGTGCCCAGGAAGGAAGAATTCTTGGCCGGCTGCCCCATTGCCTGTCCCAGGGCCAATTGTACAAGTTACAGTTTGCTGCCTATCTGGTCAGCAACGTAACATACTGTTCCATCAGTGAAGCAGATTATCTGCCTGGCAGAGTCCAGCTCTCTCGAGTGAGGAGCTCTGCTCCCACGGAGGGGGGTGGTGGCTGGCAGGAGTACCCACAGCACGAGGAGGTACGGGTAAGGTAGGGTGCAGAATGGTGGGGATAGCCCATGTTGATAGGCGAGTCCCACGGCACGAGGAGTTGAGGGAGAGCTGAGGGAGGCAGTAATGTGAACGAGGGATACCCCTAGGCAGGCTAACCCTGCCCCCGACCAGCCACCTAACGATCTCCTGGAAGGTTGTCCGGTTGTCCAGTTGCCTCCTGCTCTCCCTGGGAAGCACCCAACGAGGTCAAAAAACTTTGCCACAAGCTGAATCTGTAGCCGACTGCATCTTTGCCTGCTTCCCTCCCGTGCCAGCACAATGTTGGGAGGGAGGCCCGTTCCCTGGGCAGGAAACACCCCAACGACACACAATCGGTGGTGGGATCTGTCTGTGCGCAAGCTGACTAGGGGTGGGTCTGTCCTGAAGTTCTGAGGAGCACCCCACAATGTGAGCCTGTCCTTTTTTCGTTTGTGTTATTTTAGCATCGGGATCGCCAGTGTTTCTAAAAACTGTTCTCAGGCTTAAGATGTCACTGTCTCTTACCGACCCCACCCCACCGGCCCTTTCTGTTCTATGTGAAACAGGTGAAAGGTCACTGGCATGGCGACCCGAGTTCCAGCCGAGGTTCCTGATGGTGGTTGGGGTTGGGTGATAGTCCTGGCAGCATTCCTGATGTCGGCTCTGGTGTTTGGCATCATCCGTTCCTTCGGCGTGTTCTTCGTGGCATTTGTGGAGTACTTTTCAGAGGCTTCGAGCCACGTGTCATGGATCACATCGACCGCTATCGCCGTTCAGCAGTTTTCCAGTGAGTAGGCGCACTGGTATGAGAGGGCAACAGTTTTTATGGGGTGGTACCTGTGCTTTTGTCTGGAATATGGGAGTGTGGATTACTTCCTGTGTAACTGTACAGAGTCACCATTAATTCCGCAGAGTAAGGATTTTACTCCCTGTGTGACTGTAGAGACACTGTTAATTCAGCAAAGGTTATTTACTGTGTGGCTTTACAAAATCATGGTTTATTCAGCAGGGTAAAGCCTACACACTGTTGCTGTACAGAATTACTATTTCTTCAGCCAGATAAGAGTGACTTGTATATTTGATTACCAATATTTACAGTACTGGATTTATACTGCCGGAGATAATGAGTTGAATGCATTTTGAGAACTAACTTCTGTTTTATTTTCCCGTTAGGTCCCATAGCCAGTGCTCTCAGCAATTACTTTGGAGCCCGTCCTGTGGTGATGTTGGGTGGTTTTCTGTCCAGCTCGGGGCTGATATTTGCTTGCTTAGCTACAAACCTGATTCATCTTTACCTGTCTATTGGACTTCTCTCAGGTGAGATAGAAAGTGGCTGAAGGTTACTAATTGGAAGGTAGTCATACAGCACGGAAACAGACCCTTCAGTCCAACTTGTCCTTACCGACCAAGTTTCCCAAACTAAACCAAACTAAACTAAACTAAACTAAAACAAACAAACTAAACACTCCCTCTGTGTGAAATAGTTGCCCCCTCAGGTCCCTTTTTAAATCTTTCCTCTCTCATCTAGGGGAAGACCTTGGCTAATCACCTTATCTATGCCAGTCATGATTTTTTTTAAACCTGTATAAGGTCACCTCTCCACCACCTACGCTCCAGACTGTGTGATTAGGTGCTAGGCCACTAAATATCATTCTACTGGTGAGGGGGAACATCACCTGGTGAGGCACAAAGCTGCCTTCTGCACGACAATTTCTACACTGCTGGACTTCATGTAGAGCCGTCACGTGGAGCTGTCTCCTTCGTTTTCTCTTCCATTTCCTGAAAGAGTTCTGGTTTGGGCTGGGCGGTGAGGCTGCAGTTTCTCTCCCCTGTCATCGTTGGCTCCACATGAAGATGTGATGGGGCCAAGCTTTGTTTCATTTGCAGCATTTTAATGGTGCTGATATCTCTTGACGCCCTTAGCAATAGTTAGGCGACATTCTCACTGACCTGTGTGACTGTACGGGGCTTTGTACAAGCCGGGCGTGACAGAAGAAAATTGTAGACAATTATGTGGTGCAGGATTGGAACCCCAAGTAGACTAGGCCAGGGAGGGGAGCATTATAGCTCTGTTCCCTTGAGGGGCAGTTACGACAATCTAAAAGCTAAATGCTTATTTTACTCATGCCAGCCTTTCATTTCCCTATTTTATATATTGAAGTTACATTTTCAAAACTGTAGGGTAAACTTGAACTCATTAGGAGTCTATTATTAGCAGCATTAACACAACCACTATATACCCTATACCCATCAATGATAGCTCCATTCTAAAGCCCACATTGTAATCACAAGGACATGAATTAAAGTCAATCAACTGCAATTAGAATTATATAACTTCTGAAATCTGGTCGTCTCTTGAAGTGCTTTGCAAGAGTATAATTTGGAGAACATTTGACACCAAACCATACAAGGAGGGTGGCATGGTGGCTCATTGGTTAGCACTGCTGCCTTGTGGTGCCAGGGGGCCTGGGTTCGATTCCAGCCTCAGGTGGCAGTCTGTGTGGAGTTTGCACGTTCTCCCTGTGTCTGTGTGGGTTTCCTCTGGGCGTTCCGGTTTCGTCCCACAGTCTGGGGATGTGCGGGTTAGGGTGGATTGGCCGTGCTAAATTGTCCCATAGTGCCCAGTGATGTGCAGGGTAGGTCGGTTAGCCATGGGAAATGCAGAGATACGGAGTTGGGGTGGGTCTGGTTGAGATGTTTTTCGGAGGTTCAGTGTGGACTCGAGCTGAATGGCTTGCTTCGACACTGTAGGGTTTCTAAGGAAATGTTAGAAAATGTGTAGCTTATGTGATCTTATGATTAAAAGCATGGTTGAATAAATAGGGATTATATTAAAAAAATGTGCATTTAGTCCATCTGTTCCTCATGAGCTTCATTCTCCCCTAACAGCATATTCTTCTATTCCTTTCTGTCTTGTGTGTTCATCCAGCTTTTCCCTGCTTCATTGTAGTAGCAGTGTTCACCACAGCCTCTTGTTCTAGCAGTTCCATCACTGTCTGGATAAACAACAGTCTGCTGAATTCCTTTATGGATTTGTTAATGACACTGTACTATTGAGAGGCCCTGGTTCTGGTCTGCCCTACAAGTGGAAACACCTTTGCGATGCTTACTGTTTCAAACCCTTTAACAATCATCATGTTTTCCATCACGTCACCCCTCAGCCACTTCTTTTCTAAGAAAAAAAGTCTCAGCCACTTCAGATGGTTACAACCTTCCAGATTTTATATCATCTGACCACAAAATTAGCCAACATTTTGTGACAATTTTTAACATGAGGATATGGTGCATAGCAGAAGTGAGCAGCAGAAAATCTACAATCGGTCTTAAGATTTCAATTCACCTGCTAATTGGGCAGAAGAGTACTGCAGGATCTAATAAAAAAAAAAGCCGACGTCTTTGACACTTTTACTGGCAACTACCAATTATAATGCTATAAGTTTCTTTTATTCTGATTCTGTGGGCTAACTCTTCAAGATCTCTGCAGTGAATTAAATCTGGGTTGTGTTTCCCATTTCACTGAAGCTGCCTTTGTCTTCCTGAACATCCATCACTGTTCTGTGTTAACTGCTCACCACCATGCTCTGTCCCTTTTGATAGCTTTGCATCTTCGATGCCAGTGCATCTTTAACCCTATGGGATTTAGTTTTGATAACCAGTCTATTATGCGGGCGTTAGCCAACGCAGATCGAAACTCAGTTGTGCTGCCCTTAAGCCTGTCACTTCGTCAAATGGTTTGATCAAATTCATAAGACATTATATAATCATAGAATCCCTACAGTGTGGAAACAGGCCCTTCAGCCCAACAAATCCACAGCGACCCTTGGAGCATCCTACCCAGACCCATCCCCTTATAACCCACCTAACCTACACATCCCTGAGCACTACAGGACAATTTAGCACGGCCAATCCACCCTAACCCGCACATCTTCGGACTGTGGGTGGAAACTGGAGCACCCGGATCATAGATTCCCTACAGTGTGGAAACAGGGTCTTTGGCCCAACAAGTCCACACTGACCCTCAGAGCATCCCACCCAGACAATGGCTTTTCCCATTTTAAAAAAAATGAGTGATAACCGTCATTTATTAACCCTTTCTTGTCCAAGTGAAAATTAAATTGCTCTCTACAGCTTTCCCACCACTGGTATTAGGCCAGTTGGCCTTTCAGTGCCTGGTTCATCATTTGACCTGAAACGGTGGGAACATGGCCTTGACTTCTGAGTAGCCCTAGCAGGGGTTTGTGGTCTGTTACTGTTACAAATTTATATCTGTAAAGGTATTGGTGGAACCTTCTCACACCAAAGGTAACTGCCAAACCTTCCCTTCTCTATCTGGGCGTATTTGTGTTCTGCCAAATTCTGGGAAACATACGCTATTGGGTGTTCCTTTCCATTGGGCCATCTGAGAGCTAGCACTTCCATAATACCATATGGGGAGGCATTGCATGTCAGCATGGTTTATCACTGCCTCATTATAAACAAGGGTGTAACATCTGTATCCTTTCTGTCCTCTGGTACTGCTCTGGTGTTTGAGGAGAATTGAAAGATTATGGCTCAAGTCTCTGGAAATTTCACCCTATTTCTTAATCTCACAACATGGATAAATACATTGTATAATAGTTAACGCTTGACGTTACAAAAAATGGGAAGAGACTAATTTTTTAAAATACTGTACACTAGGTGCTTCACAACACTTGGTGTTAGAGGTTATATTTCTGACATGTTTACATTTTGTTCTGTAGTGCCTACAGCCCTGAGGGGGTCTGCAGTTTTCTGCCTTTCATTGTACAATGATAGGGGGGCCTTAGGCTGACATTTTCTCCGCTGTGCTTGTGTGGCAGCCATTGTGCCAAACTTTACCACATACCTCAGTGTGTAACCCTGGGCCTTGGAATGTGGTCATCTACATTATTCAGCCATTGACAGTTCTTTGCTTTGGAGGACCAGCACATTTTTTGGGCAGGTCAAAGAATCTTTTTCAGTGAGTTGATGGTCCTGCAGCAGTAGTTGTATGCCCTTGGGAATGTCCCACAGAGCACAGAATCCTACACTACAGAGATGCTTGTGATCAACCTCAACAGAAACTATCTCTTTCTGGGCCCGCTTGCCTCCTGCAGCGACCTAGGGTGTGTTCTGCCCCAACTGGAGGATTTTCTTATTTTTGAACATTTATTAAGTACTATTCTTTATCCATCTTAATCCTATCCAATTTCTTCACTACCTCCCACATCGCTATGTTGTGCATCATGTTTCACGAAACGAAATCCAAAGTACTTCCATAGTGCCATGCTTTCTGCCTGCACAAGCCTTCATTTGACTATCCTTTTACTCTTTACATGCTCCTCATAAAAGATATTGCGTTCATGCTTTATTGAACCTGCTAAGCTTTGCTGAGAAATTCTCTTTGCCTGACTTACTTCCTGTTTCAGTTCTCCTCTGTACTTTCCTTCTTTATTTATATAATGTCATTCACAACCTCAAAATGTCTCTGGCTTCTTTGCGGTAAACTGCCTTTTGCCATTTCAGAGTTAGAATGTCTTAACCAATACTTGTTGGCAAAATAGCACTGCAGTACGACTAGGTCATTTTTTTGTTTGTTACGTTAATGACATCTGTAAGTCTTATCTGCTGTGTGTGTGTGGAATCACGTGGTTGATTTTGACTCCCCTTTGGAATGATCAACACTCGTTCAAAATGGGCAAGAAATGTTGGCAATGAAAAAATAAAGGGAAACGAGTCATTTGGGTGGATGGAGCTTTTGTCTGCTATCCTCAGTTTGAAAGGTGGCACATCTAACAGTGCGGAAGTCCCTCAGCTCTGACCCTCCGACAGTGCAATGCTGATCCTCCAACAGCGCAGTGCTCTATCCCACTGACCCTCTGACAGTGTGCCGCTCCCCCAGCACGGCACCCCCTCAACCTTCTGGCTGAGAGTCCCATCAGCTTGAGTCATGGTTGACCACCCTCTTTCTCTGCTTCCATCTGTGCAAGGGAGTGCTGAGCTGAATTGTGACATACTGTGTTTGGGATGGGAGATTGTGTGTTTTAGTTGTTCAGTCACTCCCCAGGCCCATTCTTTTGAGCTCTGATGGCGAGACCTTCTATTGTGGTTAAACTTTGCCCTCGTGTGTTCTATTCTTTGTAAACTTAAGATTATCTGAATTCTGCTGTCTGTACCTCCACTCACAGCTAGCCCTGCTACCCTATTATCCCAGTGGTTGCTAATCTATGTTGCAACTTTTCACCCTGGTTTTCAAATTCATTCATAATCTCAACCCCCTGTAACTATAAGCTCTCCATGGCTTTCAACCCCCTGAGATCTCTGCACTTCTGTAACCGAGGCCCCTCGCTGATTGCTATCACTCCCCCTTTTGGTGGCCCTTCTTTCAATTGCTGGGCCCCAAATTTTGCAGATTGTTCTCTTCATTCATGCTTCTCCACATCATGTTCTTCCTCTAAGACACCCCTTATAACCTATCTCTGGATTAGAATTTTGCTTATGCAGTCATAGAGTCATACAGCACAGAAACCGGCCCTTCAGCCCGATCTGTCCATGCTGACCAGAATGTTGCCAAGAATGGAAGGTTTGAATTATAAGGAGAGGCTTAATAGACTGAGACCTTTTATCCCCTGGTGCATAGGATACTGAGGGGTGACCTTGATAGAGGCTCATAAAATCATGAGGGGCTTATATAAGTTGAATAGCTGAGGCCTTTCTTCCAAGGTAGGAGAATCCAAAACTAGAGGGCATAGGTCTGACTTAATATTCTTCTGTGGGGCATTGTTATAAGTTATAAAATAATGTGCCTGTGAAGCATTTTGGGATATGCCATTGCATTAAAGTTGTTATACAAATATGTGGTTGGTATTTTGACGTTAGTGTGTAAACATTGTGTTCTCCTGTTATTTGTCAGGCTTCGGTTGGGCGCTCGTCTTCACCCCATCGGTTGCTGCAGTCTGTCAATACTTTGACAAGAAGAGGACTCTGGCAATGGGGATGGCTTTCACTGGAGTTGGAATTGGCTCCTTTGTCTTCTCCCCACTCTTCCAGTACCTAATTGATGAGTACATGTGGCGGGGGGCACTACTGGTCATTGCAGGAATGATGCTCAACCTCATGGTATGTGGTGCATTGATCAGACCCCTGCCCCTGAAGGAAGACCTGACTCGCGCAGTGGCACCGGGCGAGGGGTCGTTGTGTTGCCAAGGCGCCAGGAGCATGATCTTCGACCTGCTAGACTTGAGCCTGCTTCGACACTGGCCCTTCCTAACCTTAGTGCTGTCTGTCACCTTGATAAATGCCGGCTACTTTGTGCCTTACGTCCACTTTGTGGCCCACGCCCAGTCCATCGGCTTCGATGAGTATGAGGCCGCGTTCCTGATGTCGGTGGCGGGGGTGATGGACCTGATTGGCCGGTTGCTGTCTGGTTGGTTCTCTGACCTACGCAAGATGCGCCTGGTTCACATCCTGATCTTGTGGACCATGCTGACAGGACTGAGTCTGCTGGCCATCCCCTTGGGCCGCACCTACCCTGTGTTGATGTTGATCGGCATGGCCAACGGGTTCTGCGCTGGGGCCTTGACGCCTGTGGTGTTCTCCTTACTGCCTGAGATAGTCGGGATCGGGAGGATTTATGGAGCGTTGGGACTGCTGCAGATGTTGGAGAGTGTAGGGGGACTGCTGGGAGCACCGATATCAGGTAAAGAAAGCTCCCTCTTTTCTGAATTTTGTGCTATGGACACTTGGGTGTAGGAACTTCTGAGGATATCAAGTTTATAGAACAAATGTGGGTAATTGGAGTTAGGGCACAGGTCATTCATGATCTAATTGCATGGCTGGAACTGGCTTGAGGGGATGAATGGCCTCTCCCTGTAGCTAAAAGAAGGCTGATCCTTTATTCCCAGGGGAATCTTCCTCCTGAGGTGTGGTGCTCAGAGCTGAACACACTGGCTCCAGATGGAATCTGATTAAGGTTCAGTATGTCTGAAGCATGACTTATTCCTTCCAGCTTTGAGATGAAGGCCAATTTTCCATTGGCCACTTTGAATGCTTTTTATAGCTAGTCACTGTCTTCAAGTGATTTGCTCGAAAATCTGGTGGAACTCTTTGTTCTTCCAGTTTCTCATTTCTTTCTTACCACGTTTTTTTGAAGCCGATGAGCGTGCGTTTATATAGCGCTGTTCACAAGGAGCTTCCAAAGTGTTTTACAACCAATGTTACACTTCTGAAGAGCAGTTCTTGTTTTATTTCAGCAAACATGGTAGCCATTTTGCAAAACCATCTCCTACGATCTATAACGATTGAGGGATTAATATGGGCCGGGCCATCAGGATGATCTCCCTGCTCCTCTTCCATAAGAGGCCGTGGGATCCCTTTACATCCACCTGAGAGGGAAGGTAGGGCGTCATCAGAAATGTCTTGATCGTGCAGAATTCCTTCAGTACGGCACTAGGTGTGTCCGATGAGCATAAATATTCCAATTTTCTGGAGTGGGGTTTGAACTTGTGATTTTCTAACCCACAGGTGAGCGTGTTGCCCTGTGAGCCACTGGCACTGAAAGATTTGTAATTGGAGCCTCTTCAACTCTATATTGACTAGGCCCAGCTCTTTGCAACAGGCTGACCTATTTTTTTTTTTTACACTTCTCTTCCAGGCTGGCTGCGTGATGTAACTGGTAACTACACAGCTTCCTTTATGGTGGCAGGTGCTTTCCTCCTGCTCAGCAGCCTGTTTCTGTTTGGGATTCCTGGTGCCTTGTCCTGTTCCTGTGTCCTGCCTGCCAGGCATCCGCAGACAAAGAATGCAGAGGAGGAGGAGGAATGCAAGTCCATGGATGGCTCGAATATATCCGTGCTGGAGGAGCAGTGCGTCCCGATTGAGCCTGCTAGTATTGCTTCCAGAAATGCAGAGGTGGCCTGAATTGAGAGATGTGTAAATGCTGGGAGTGGACGTTGACGTTTAAATTGAGCTGTCTCCAACTCCAAGTGAGAGTGGAGTGAGTGTTGATGCCGCTCCATCAGCTGTTGCGGGCTGGAATGGGATGGAATCCATGGCAAACAGACTCTATTTAAACGGAGCCTCTACAGACTACAGCAATGGGCTAAAGGCCCCGAGGGCAAAATCCTTAGCAAAAGGCAGTATGTGGTTGATGGTGACGTGATACAAATTTGATTCATAAAATTATTAACTTTACAATTGAATTGTTTAAGAGTGGCACGAGCAAATCATCTCCATTAGACTGGAACGCATTGTGCCACAGTAGCCTATTAATGTTGACTAATCCTTTTAACACTTGCCCATTTTCTCTCGTCCCACCCCCACTTAGTGATGTCTTCTTTGTACAGGCACTGGCACAGCCTTACTGGCAGGGTTTGCCTTTGGGAACCTAGTCTAATTGTGCATTTGTTGATCTTGGCAGAGAATGGGCAGGGCTGTAATCATCATCAGTGCCTCTGAGTTGAAGGAATCGACTCCCAGCCGCTGGAAAGGCTGTGTGTCCACGTGGTTGGCGGTAAGAGCGGGTGTGATGGTTCCTGCTGTTGAGTAGTTCATTGTTAGCCCCTGCAGGTATAACACCTGAGGCAGGTGGCCTTGTGAGGAAAGAGCAGAAGGTACAAAGGCGGAGAAGACTCCAGGAGCAGTGCCAGACTGCAGAGCACTCAACTTGGGACTTTTGCAATGAGCAGTTAGACCATGCCAACCCACCACCACTCTCGCCTCACACTTGAGACACCGCCCCCTGTCTCAGACCCTGAATTAAGATATTAACTTATGTATCAAGACATGATAAATGCTCACTCCCGACCGATATAATCATTGAGAACCTATGGTAACTAGCTCAGGGCAACTGGAATTCAATCAGGCTTCAATTTCATTGCTTTCTTCAACTTTTTATTGGTGTTTGTGTAAACCTGTCAAATGGGAGTTGGGGCATGTGGAAAGCGTGGAATACCTGAAGGTGGGAATCTTTCTTATTGGACGGACTGTCTACATTGTACTCGCTGCCCTGTTCTCTTTCCTGCTAGGCCTATACCAATTTTGTGCCTTCGAACTTGGCAATTGGGTAAGTGGGCGATGTGACTGATTTGAAAATGGCGGGGGGGCGGGGGGGAACGCTCAGACGGTTTCCAGTTGGATTTCTCAGGAATCTCCTGCTCCTGAGTGCTACCAAAAAACTTGCCTGTTCATTGCTGCATTTTGAATAAAACTGAGAATATTGAAGTAATAAAATAATTCTTAAAATACTTTTACAGCTGTCTTCTCTTTGTTAAAACTGTGCTCCTGCCAACTGCCTTAGCTAGTGCTGGGTTGGTATGTTTGGCCAGGGTGCTACCAGTTACACCGGTAATCTGGGCCAGGGAAGACCAACACTATCTGGCCATGTGTGTGTGTGTGTGTGCGACTGTCTGGTGAGGATAGGATTTGGATTTTCATGTTGTCATGGTTAGCCTGATTCCATCTGTTATATGGGCCCACACCTGAAAAATAGCTACTTTGACGTGTCAGGGAGCACCTCTGCTGACTCTAAAGGTGACCAGGTCACCTGGTGTCAGATCCCTACATCTTCCCCTTACACCTTCCTCCTTCTCAGATAATCAAATTCCCTCTTCAACGCCTCCGTTGAACCTGCTCCAGTCCACACTGTGCATTTCAGGTTCTAAATGCTTGCTGCATCAACAGGTAATTTGTGTCTCCATTGCATATTTTGCCAATTACCTGAAATCAATGCCCTCTGGTATTGGATGCTGCCACTATGGGAACAGAAACTGACCCCTCATACCTTTATGAAATCTCCTACTGATTACAATACGTGAACTAAGTTTCTTGCCATTATTTGATGGTTGATTGACTTGTTTGATTCTAGGCACCGAAGTCTGGATCCATTCAGTTCAGGCTTGAAAGGAGTGGGATTGTGGTTTGGAGAGATATCCTATCAAAGTTGAAACTTGTGAATTTCTACGCTGGGTTTCCAGTTAGTCTTTCTGCTCAATCCTCTTCTGCTCAACTCCAGAAGATCCTTTTTTTTGTTTAAAATCATTTTTTTTTTTCTAATCAACCTGTTCAAGAGATGCTATGACGCATCTCTACAGCAGGTGGGGCTTGAATCCAGGCCTCCTGGTCCAGGGACAGGGACACTACTACTGCGCCACAAGAGGGCCCCTGAAGGTGCTGGTACACACTTCCAATCAATGCAGAATTAGCTGCTTTTCTGTTCTGCTTAGCCAAGAATAGATTGGAGCAAAGGAGTGGAGGTCAGTCATGAACCCTGAGCTCCAGAGAACGTGTTCAAATCCCATCTTCCTCTACCCTGCTCCAGTTCCCCAACCCTGAGGTATCTGCACTCTGATTTCTGACCAGCTGCTAATTCCTGGTTTAACTGGTCCACCGCTCCTTTAGGAACTAAGTTCTGGAATTGCTTCCTGATAACTCTCTGCCTTTGCTCCTTTCTCAGATACTCCTTTTTTAAAAATAACACCTTTTCTTTGAGCAAGATTTTGGTCCTAAAGTCCTTGTGTGGCTCATCATCTTGCTGTTTGACAATTGCTCCTATGAAGCACCTTGGGATGCTTTGCTATATTAAAGCAACTATGTAAATGCAAGATGTTGTTGCAAAACAGCGTTTTTGTGACAGGATCGGATTGGAAAAACTTGACCAAAATTGTCCTTGATATTTTGTATAATTTTTAATCGTCTGTCAAATTGCTGCCAGCAAATTTGATGTAAATTGGATGATTGCCATAATGGTGAATGTCTCCTACCCAAACAATGGCTTGTTGTTGAGTGATTCTTGCAAAATAGAAATAACAAGGTATTGCAGAATGCTGACTCATCGTATAAATTTCTTGTGATATGCATTTCTCTTTAAAAGCACTTTCCAGTAATCTCTATATGACAAGCCTTCTGGAAAGCCGCCTTCTAAAAGAGTTGGGCTGCACAGTAAGTCATCAACTCTTCAAATTGGCTAGTTGCATGTGGCAAAACCGAAGGTACCATCCCATTAGCTTTCAACTTCCACTCAGGAATAGGTTCTGCAGGCATTGATCCTACTGGAATATGGATTTGACAGAGGTGTCAGCGAACTGTGCAGTACAAGTCCCACGCACAAATATTCTCAGTGTGTGCACAAGTACCTATGAGCGCAGAAATGAAAAGTGGCCCCATGAGGTGACGGAGGGTATCGTACAAGGGCCACGTAGTATGATTGGGTGAAGAAGGAAGTGAATGTGGCTAAAAGAAAACTAGCAAATCAGTAATAGGCCTTACATTGATCGATTGCCAAAACAAAAACCTGATTTTACAAAGCATCTTTGTGTACTGCTACACTCCCACTAGTACTGTGGGAATTTGCTCATGTACGTGCCTGAGCAGGCAAGAATCTGATTTTATGTCTCATTGTATAAGGTCACTTCTGATAATGCATCATTCCCTCAATATCATTTATGGGTTAAGTGCTAAAGTGGGAGCATTGATCCCACAACCTTCGACCTAGAGATCAGAATGCTACCCAACTGAGTGACATGTGGTTAGTAGAGTTCTCCATATCAACTCTATTATACTTGCACATATTATTTATAGGGTTTGCTGTTTAAGTGATTAACATTGCAGATTGATAGGTGCAAGGGTGGTTTTTTAAACGATAAGGTTGCTTTCTACTTTATCCAGTGAACAATAAAGCTTTTACCAAAATTCCTCAGCTCTTTATAATGAGAGTTGTCAAGGGGATTACCTAAAACCAGCATTTTTCACTCCCAAGGGTAGATAAAGGTTAAACACAAAGTAAAGTTCCCTCAACACTGTCCCCACAAACAATCCTTGGACAGGGGTGGGGTGAGGTTAGATACAAGGTAAAATTTCCTCTACTTTTTTAAACTGAATGCAAAGCTTCCTTGATACTGTCCCCATCAAACGTTCCCAGGACAAGTACAGCATGGGCTAAGAAACAGAATACAGCTCACTACTCTTTTAAACTGAAAGGAAACTCTCTCCGCTCTTTTTAAACTAAAAGCTCTCTCTACACTGTTATATCAAGCATTCCCAGGACAGATACAGCATGTAGTTTAGATACAGAGCAAAGCTACCTCAATACTGTCCTCATCAGTTACTCCCAGGACAGGGATCAGATACAGATTAAGGATCCCGCAAGACAGCTTTCCTGCTTGGCAATTGGGAAACCCTACTCCCTTTGTGATTGTAACTTGCATCACCATGAGAAATTGGGTTGCTGCCCCTGGAGACTCGAGAAATTGAAAATTAGTTTCCAGGACTGCATCAAGTAAAACATTTTTAAATTACTTTTATTTGTTTTAAAAAAAAATAAGAAGTTGGGTGGAGGAAGGTCTTTCAGAAATGGTCAAGCATAATTCAATTAGCAAATGAATTTATTTGCCTTCTGATTATGTGTGAGAAGGCAGGCTCTTGCAGTGATAAATGTGCTGAGTTATCAATGATGATTATCTAAGAGTGAGGGGAATTTGGAGGCAGGAGACTGAGTAAGGGATCATCACCAAAGATCTGTCCAAATAGACAGCTCCAGTAGTTGGTGGCAGCTGATTTCTTTTGGGTATCTCAGGGCAAACTTGTCCTTTCGTTCTTAATTCACCTGAAATCTAGAGGTTGCTTTTTTCAAGAGTGGATTTAATTGAGGTATTTAAAATCATGATTGATCTCAATAAAGTAGATAGGAGAAACTATTTCCACTAGTGTTTGGGTCAGTAACCAAAGGGCATGGGTGTAAGGTAATTTCAAAGACTCTGGCACAGGAAAACAGACTGAATAACCTCTTTGTGTGGCATCGTAAACAATTTAATGATTATGTCTTGAGTATTTGGTGGGTGGAGAGAATATAACAGCTTTGATTTCCAAAATCAGCAGCAAGCTGAGGGTTAAACAGCTTAAACTAATCCAAAGTGTAAAAAAACTTACTGCAGTTAAACCTGGATTGAAACATTACAATTTGTAACTCCTTTAATGTTTTGAGACACTATTGGAAGTGCCACAGCTCCATCTACAGGTATGTGCTTTCTTAGCTTATTGGGATCAGAGTTAAAAGATTCAGACAAACGAGAGAGATAATGACTAGAGATAGTAGGAACTGCCGTTGCTGGAGTCTGAGATAACAAGGTGTGGAGCTGAACAGCAGGCCAGGCAGCATCAGAGGAGCAGGAAAGCTGACATTTCGGGTCTGGACCCTTCAGAAATGGGGGAGTGGGAGGAGAAGGGCGCTCTGAAATCACTAGAGAGAGGGGGAGGCGGTGATTGAAAGTAGATAGTGGAGCAGATAGGTGGAGAGAAGACAGACAGGTCAAGGAGGTAGGAATGAAGCCAATAAAGGTGAGTGTAGGTAGGGAGTTGGGATGGGGGGGGGTTGGTCGGTGAAGGGGGGATGGCGGGGAGGTGGGAGGGAAGACA